GAACTGGACGGATGCTCTATCCCCTGACTAGTCTCTTTTCAGAGAAAGAGATGGGGACCTGGACACAGAGCAGCAGGTATGAAAATGAAGCAGTGGCCAAAGCTGAGGGTACTGATAATGACCCAAACCTTTATTATTGGCGTCTGATCTCCAGAACTATAACAAAATGAATTTGATTTAAGCTGCCAAGCTTTGGATTTTTTTTTAATATAAATGAAGCTACTAGCCGGGCGGTGGTGGCGCACGCCTTTAATCCCAGCACTTGGGAGGCAGAGGCAGGCAGATCTCTGTGAGTTCGAGACCAGCCTGCTCTACAAGAACTAGTTCCAGGACAGGCTCCAAAACCACAGAGAAACCCAGTCTCGAAAAAGCAAAAAAAAAAAAAAAAAAAAAAAGAAGCTACTTTACTGACTGCAAAGAGATAGTTTGAACAGTACATTATCTTCAATATACAAAATGAGTTTCTTTTATTTTGATTTTTAAAGCACACTGAGGAATAAAAAGTCCAAACTGGACTATCGCTGCCAAACAAGTTCATCAAACCCAGCTACAGTTGATGTGGGGGGCGGGGTTTGGCTGACAGGCATTCCTCTCCTGACTTGCACCATGAAGTCTCAGAAGAGGTAGCAAGGCAAAGACGTTGGATCTTTCTCCCATCTTCTGAGGGGTCATTAACATATCCTATCCCTGGAGTAACTGCTGCTTCATGGGTGCCTCATCTGCTTTATCTAAAAGAAACTTCAGCCAGACGTCAATGCCCATGTTTTGTAAAAATGTTCGTTGCTCTACTAGACCCAGAGAGGCTACTTCTCCCTGTGTCATTCTGCACAGCTAACTGATGTCCTCATCAGCTGTCAGGTCGGCTGTTCCAGGAGCAATTAAGACACCGTGAAGCTGGTGTCCACAGGAGCCTCTGAAGGTGTCCATCTTCATTCCATCATGATCATAGCACTCAGGCCAGCGCCTCCAGTTAGTGCAATGCCTTGAGAAGGTTCCTGTCTAATAATCCCAGCGACGCGATAGACTTTTACATGGTCCTTCTTTCTTCATGTTCTACGAAGGGTTGCACAAGGAGCCAAGCCGAACCTCTATGGTATGAGGCCATTTGTTCATTTCCCGGCCAACCAAACTCCCAAAATAATCACACAGAAACTATATTATTTAAATCACTGCTTGGCCAATCACTTAAGCTCTTATATCTTTGGTTAACCCAAAAATATTAAAGATATTAAAGATACACAGATTTCTATTAATCTGTGTATCACCACGTAGCTGTGGCTCACCAGCAAGGTTCCAGCGTGTCTGCCTCTGGCAGGACTACATGACTTCTCCTTGACTCTGCCTAGCCTGGCTATATTCTGTTAAGCCATTGACTGAAAGCATCTTCTTTATGCATTAACCAACAAAAGCAACACATACACAGAAGATGTCCCACACCAAACCTCAGTTTATCAGAAATGGGTGGGCTGATATCAACAAGCACTTCCCTCCATCCTTGTGGTGTTTTCTGGAGATTTATGCACGGGAAGAACATCAAAAAACTCCTGTGCGAGAGAAAAGCCGCATCCTTTGGGAAGATCCTTCAGATCTCGGTACCAAGAGACTGGAATCCCAGACTTGCTGACATCTTCCGTGCACACTAGGGATTCAACATCTCTGTCCAAAGGGAACTTCTTCCGGGTCAGTGTCAATGCTTGGATCTTATTTAATTTTTGGCTCACCTCTACTAGGTGGATTGAAATGTCACAGGTTTTTTTTTGTTGTTGTTGTTGTTTTTTGGTTTTTTTTTTTTTTTTTTTGCACAGACCCAAGATGAATGACTACCCTCAAAGTATCTCCGGTGGGGTACCCCGACCTGGACCCGGTTCCACCAGCTGGAATGCTGTACTTTTTCCAGAGGTCATCCATTCACTAAGGAACCATATCCCTAGTAGCTCCCCAAAGACTGGACTCATTTCGGGTGAAGTTGTGACGTCTCCCTTTTCTCCTAGCATATCATGATGCACACGATATCCCTTGGCTGGGTTGGTCGAAACCCCCTTCAGGTACTCTGCCACAGTGATGGGACCTGTAGACTTTATCTTATACATAAGATGCCCCAGCATCAGCATCACCCGGTTGTTTTCTATTGGCTCATTCCTGGAGCTGAAGCATTTCTCTCTCCAGTTCCAGGGAACGCCCACAGGGGCCACTCTACTAAAACCCGGCTAATTTGTTACAGTAACCACAGGAGGCACAGCAAGGCATGGAGAAGGGCAACAGCAAGGACTTGGGGAGAAACCTCAAAGACAATGGACTCTCCTTGGGTTAAAGATAGTAACTACAAACACATGGCACTGGGCCAAAGAAGTTGAGCCCTGCTCAGTTCAGGGTGTGGTGAGACAAGTCACTGGTAGGGGAGAAGTGTAGTGGAATTGGACACTCACACATCAAGTGCTGCCCAAGTCCTGCCTGTAAGCCTACTCTAAGACAAAAAGGAACAGGTAGAAGAAGTAGGCCCAGAGGGGAGCCAGGACAAAGACCAAGGACAGGGGAGTATGGGAGGACCAGAGTATTTTATGTTCCTAACACAACACAAAATCCGGACAAGATACTCTCAAGGGCCCTGATAATTTGTTAATAAAAATAAGCTCATTTGGAAAAGCCAAAATCGGCTCCAGGAGCCGGCACTTCTTGTCAGGAATTCAGCCTCACAATTCTGCTCTGTATGGCTCCCCAAGGAGAGGCCACCTCACAGAGTCCAGACCATGTGTGATGAGAAAGTGAGTTTATCTTAAGCCCGGGCTGGAGTAGTCTGTGAGGCTGGATCATCTGATGACTGTTTCACAGAGCAACCCTGTCTCAACGAAGAAAAAAAGCATTATGTAATCTATTTCTGGGGGGGGGGGTCTTTGTTGCCCCTTTCTGTTTATTAAATATTTCTTTTAAAGTGCAACTGGGGAGCTGAAGAGATGGCACTGTCTACTCTTCCAGAGGACCTGAGTGCAATTCCTAGTAACCATATGGTGGCTCATAAACCAGTCCTGGTGAGATTTAGTGCCCTCAGGGTTTTTCTGTGTAGCTTTGGAACCTGTCCTGTAACTCACTCTAGCAAACTTGGCTAGCCTTGAATTTAGAGACCTGCCTGCCTCTGCCTTCTGAGTGCTGGGATTAAAGGTTTGGGCCACCACCACCTGGTGGCATAACTTCTAATAAAGGTGTATTGCAAATGCTAACCTGCAAAGGCAGACTTGAATTTGATATCAATGCCTTTTGCTTGTTGAACTGTGTTCATTGGTCCAATGCTAGCCTTTGCCGCACCTTCTGAGGACTCCAGAAGGCTTTTTGCCTTCTCTTTGTACTATCTCTAGAAAATACATTGTTTCTAAGAACATTGTTTCTAGGAACACCTTGCTTGCTACAGCCAAGACATTTGACAGTTTGATTTTTCTTAAAACTTTAGGGGGCTGGAGAGATGGCTCAGTGGTTAAGAGCACTGACTGCTCTTCCAGAGGACCCAGGTTCAACTCCCAGCAGCCACATGGCAGCTCACAACTGTCTGTAACTCCAGTTGCAGGGGACCTGACACCCATGGGAAAAACACCAATGTATATATAATGAAAATAAATAAATTAAAAAAAGCTTTAGATTTAAACTTTAGAGATTACTTCTCCTATTAAAGTTGCATAATAACTATGAGATCCAATATCAGCTGTATTTCTAATCCATTTATCTGTTGGTGCCGATCTTGCCTTTAAGGGCCTAATCACCCCTTTGCATTCTGAAAAAAAACCAAAACTTCTATTCATATTAATCTGATTTCTCGATCTGATATCATTCTATTTACAACTGAGGTCAATCTTTGCAAAAAATCAGTGAAGGCTTCCCCTTGTATAATTTTAGTAAATGGCTCAGACCTCTTTTCAGATTCTTCAGCCTTGTCTACACTCACACGCTGGCCACCAGTGGCCAAACACACTTTGTACAGACACCTCAACAGCAACCCTAAGCAGGAGCCATGCTGTAGTATGGGGGCAAGAGGAGCCCACGTAAGCCTTGACTGACAACCGGCCTCGGAAGTTGCGGCTCTTTCAAAAATCCAGCCCCTCTTAGACATGGACGCCCCCACAACCCGGGCGCGCCTCAGGGCAAAGTACTCTTGTCTGCACACTCGTCGTCTCCAACTTCACTTCACTGGTCACTGCCCGCCTCCTGATGTCTATCCGTGGACCTCGAGCTGGGGCCAGCCTTCTCAAGGTCACACAAAGATAGTGAACCCCAGCGGTCCCAGGCCTGAGGAGTCCTGCACCTAGGGTCCGGAAGTTCCACTCTGTTGCCACCCACTACGACCACGCCCTCAAAGCCTGGCCAGTCGAACGTCAGGACCTGACCGCTGCTTCAACTTCCAAGTGCTCGCGGCTGCTATGGTTTCCACGGTGCAGAACTCGATCCTGGCTGTCTATAAACCTGGCGTCCCCACCTTTTCTCCTTTCGATCACCAGCAACACTTTTGGATCCGGTGGACTAGCATGTCCTACAAATTCTTGTCAACCGAAAAGTGGCGCGCAATAGAAAAGACGCATGCGCAATGCTGTTGCATTGACCAGCCTGTGTACGTCACACTTCATATACTCTGTGGACTGCTGCATTGCTCAACAGCGCCGCTGGTGTAGTGGTATCATGCAAGATTCCCATTCTTGCGACCCGGGTTCGATTCCCGGGCGGCGCAGTTGCCTTTTTTTGTTTTGTAAACTTCAGAAGAAGGTGTGGCGCAGACGCAACAAACTTTCAATGTGACAAATACGCTGAAAACACTGGCTCAGACTAAGTGCTGTTTGTTAGAGTAAACCACACCTGGATACCCACAGCCAAGCCCAGCGCCGACCCCTTAAAGAGTCAAGCGGTCTCCTGACAGTTTTCCTGTATCAGGCGGCTGGTAGGTACGACCACAACTCCCGTAGTGCCCTGCGCAGAAGCTGGACCACAGCTCCCGTCATGTCCCGCGAGCATTCCTAGCCGGGTTGGCAGCACCGCAGCGATGATGGTGGCTACGGCTGCTGAGCGAAATAAGGAGCCCATCCTGTGCGTGCTCCGCCAGTATGTGGATCCTGCCCAGCGCGGCGTTCGCGTGCTCGAGGTGGCCTCGGGCTCCGGCCAGCACGCCGCGCACTTTGCACAGGCTTTCCCGCACGCCGAGTGGCAGCCGTCAGACGTGGACCAGCGCTGCCTGGACAGGTGTGGCGGCTCGGCGTCTCCAGATTGCCGGGGCTTGGGTTGAACTGGGGGCGGGGCTGGCAATGGGAAGAGAGGGCGGGACCAGGTCTGGGTGCTGGACTGAGGAAGTGGTACCCGCTGGCCGCTTCTCAGGACTTAGCCCCTGACCCACTGTTGGTAGTGGTGGGGGGCGCTAGCTGACCCTTGCCCACGCGCTGCCCACTACAGCATTGCCGCCACCACCCAAGCCCAAGGGTTGTCCAATGTGAAGGCCCCGCTGTACCTGGACGTGACCTGGGAGTGGGAGCAATGGGGCGGAATCCAGCCGCGGTCGCTGGACCTGTTGCTCTGCATCAATATGATCCACATCAGCCCCCTGAACTGCACTGAGGTAAGGACATTGTGGAACCCAGCTTTCATGTTGCAAGAAAGGAGACCTGAGTCTCTCTCTTTTTTTCCTTTCCAGAAGGAAAAATGATTTAATTCTACAAATTTACAACCCGCCCCCAAACAAACAACAACATAGAGAAAACAAAAAACAAAGCAAACAGGGTTGCCCTGATTCAGCAGACAAGTTCTGAGGTCAGATTGACTGACCCTGGCTAGCTAGATGGTGACAGGCAGATGTGTTGAATCAGACCTGAGTCTCAAGCGCCCAGCTTACCCTGTCTCCCTCTCTTCAGGGACTCTTCAAAGCAGCAGGACAACTGCTTAAAACCAAGGCCTTGCTGATCACCTATGGGGTGAGTGACCCTACCTTAAGAGGCCCTTAGCAGTCCAGGTGTTTCCCAGTCTCTTGCACTGAATCTGGGTCCTTGCCCTTTTCCTTCTTGGGAGCAGAAAGGGGGTGTTCTTTGATACTCTTGTTCCCAGCCTAAAAATGAGTCCTATGGGAACTGACCTTGGGCCCACAGACTATCTCCTTGTTCCCACAGCCCTTTGCAGTCAATGGAAAGATCTCTCCCCAGAGCAACGTGGACTTTGACCTGAGCCTCAGATGCAGGTCAGACCTAGGTGGAGAGGGGCTTGGCTCAGAGGGTGGGTGGGCTGATGAAACCTTCAGTTCTGCAAGTGACATCTCCCTCCTTCCCTGACTGTAGGAACCCAGAGTGGGGGCTTCGTGACACAGCCCTCCTGGAGGAACTAGGCCAGGCCAGCGGCTTGGTCCTGGAGAGGATGGTAGGCAGGGCAATGGTGGGGGGTAGGGAATCTCCCTGGGACTAAGGGCCACTCCAGCAAAGCATTTTTCCAGGTGGACATGCCAGCCAACAACAAGTGCCTGATTTTCCGGAAAGAATAGCCTATTTCCTACCTCCCATGTGCCTGCATCTCTGTCAAAGGTTCTGCCATGGTACAAGCTAGACCTCAGCCCCTCCCTGAGTCACTCCTTGGGATAAATTAGTCCCTCCTAATCTGGTGGCCACAGTGCTACAGAGAATCTGGGCCCAATGGGCCATGAAATAAAGCCATTCCATTTCACTGGGGGCATCCCTACCACACTGTTTGCTGGGAATAGTTGTGGGAAGGCAAAGGGGGTTTGGTCTGAGGGAAGATTAGAGCTTGGAGGATGGCTGAAGCAGGATTGAGCTGGCTTCCTCTTATGTCCCAGGAGAGAAACTTGTAGGTCTGTAGGAGGGTCCCCAAGAGTGACATGGTGCTACTTGGTAACCCTTGGGCAGAAACTGGAGCTCCCTTTACTCGCAGGACTCCAGCTGAACACAGTGGTGATGGGGCGGCTGCAGCTAGAAGGGAACCAGAGGCTGTGAATCCCACAGGCACAGACATTTATTCAGCAGGAAGGAGGGTGGGAATGGGGATTACAGATAAAGCTAGTCTTGGAAGCGGTTGAGCAGCTCACAAGCCTTCTTCTCAAGCAGCTCTGCAATCTTTTTGACTCGCTTCTCGCTGGCAGCACGGACATAGCTGTTAGCATCCAATATGGCCACACCTTCACGAACCTCACCCATGATGACCAGTGGCCCATCACCAGCTGTCACATTGGGGCATGGGCAGGCCCAGTCCATGCCACTCAGTGTCACCTCCAGGTATTTGGTGCCCAAGAACTTGAGGCCCATCTTGTCATCTTTGAGCACATCATCTAAGGCCACACGAGCAATGCCGCCTGCAGCCTCTGGCTCCTCCAGTACCTCTGTGAGTCGACCCACAATGGCAAAATCACTACGGCACAAGCTCAGAGCCAGCTTGCTCTTGAGGCGGCAGGCACGACAGGGTGGTGTGCGTGGCACGGGGCAAGCATCTTCACAGCTCTCCCGGCTCTCAAAGTTATTGCTGTTGCCTTCACAGCCACTGTATACAAAGGGGTGGCACTGCTGTAGCAGTGGGCTATAGGCCCAGCGTGGCTCCCAGCCCTGGCAGGGGCCCTGAACTGCAGGTAGTGCACAGGCATCCCCAGGGCCACGGACACAGGCCTGTTGGCATGCCTCATAGGTCTCAAAGCCCCGGGCAGCTCCATCACATTTGAGGGCTGGGAAGGTCATGCAGCTGCCTCGCTGTGGGTCAAAGCGCCAAAGGACATGGTGAGGAGTGGCAGGCCCAACACAGGCCTGTGTGTCAGGCTGGCACTCAGCCAGGGCCAGGACATCTGGGTCCTTATCCTGAGTATTTATCCGCTGCAAAACAGAGAGGGGGAAGTCAGCCCGCAGCAGGCCAGCAGCATTGCGTGCAGTGCATGTATATAGGCCTGCATCCTCCAACTGGGCATTGTACAGCACTAGCTGTCCAATACTGGTGACAACCACATTGCCATACATCTGGTCAGGGCGCATGATCAGGTTCTCCCGCTGATGGCTTTGTTTCTCCCAGGTCACAGCAGGTGGTGGACGGCCACTAACATCACAGTGGAGGCTAGCTGTTCCTCCTACATGTACTGCCTGTGGTGAGGGGCTGTTATACAGGGCAGGTGGCATGGGAGCAGCCCCAGGGGTTGGCCGAGCAGTGGTCTCAGGTGGTCCTGGGCTACTGGGTGGCCAGCTGAGAATGTGTTTGCAGGGCACCACATGCAGGTGGAGACCCCGCAGGCAGGCCTCTGCATCCATATAGCAGCGGTTGTAATAGGTGAGGCCATCGGAAGCGCAAGTGAAGCTGGGTTCTTTCTCACAGCGGTCACGGCAGCGGCAAACTGGCTGCCCATCCCAGATGTCACAGTCAGAACCCTGTTGTGTGCATTGGAAGCCTTCACAGGAGGCTGCTGGCTCAGGTACAGCTGGGCCACCACTGGGGAAGCGGGCCGCCACGCAGCTCTGCAGCCCACACACATTGGTGCAGCACTTCTCAGAGGCCGCACAGTCCTGAGGGACAGGGACAATTTAGTGGAACCCTGAACCCTTCCCAGCATTGCCCATGCACTCCCCTGGGAGACGTGGCTGCCTCTCTCCAAGCCTGCTTCCCTATGGAAAGTGGTGGCAGTGCTTTCTGAACAGCACAAGCAGCAAGGCGGTGTCGCCTTACTCCCACTGAATCCTTGGCACCTCTGCGGTGCAGATGGAGCAGTGCGCAAGCAGCTGCTCTGCCATCAGAGGGCGCACCACTTAAGGAACTCTTTTGTCCCCTTCCCAGTCTGGGAAATGAGGAAAGGACCACGGGCAGGGCAGGGCAGGGCAGGGCAGGGCAGAAGGGTGGTGCCATTTGCAGGGGTAGGTCAGAGGCCTGGGTCCACATCACTTAAAGAAGTGGTGCTCAGGCAGGTTAGTGACAGGATTGGTGAAGACCAGTCAGTCCAGGGATGGGAGATGTTCTTACTCTTCAGACAGGTGAGGGTAGAAAGGTAGGGGCATCCCTTGAGCCCTGAGGACAGGTCATGGCCCCAAATCCAGGGAAATGAGTATGGAGACACCCTGGAGAAAGCGGACTCCTGGGGTTGGGGTCTGCTCCCCCCACAGAGGAAAGAGCTGGGGTGGGGCCCAGGATCCCATGAGATGCCAGTGCTCACCTGGTCCCTGGTGCACTCACGCTCACAGGTGCTCTGGGCGTCCACCCACAGGTGGGGGCTGAGCTGGTTGGGGCACATGCCAGGGTGGCTTCCAGGCTCTGGCAGCGGGTTGGTCTCCGAGGTCAGATGGATGAGCCCGAAGACAAAGAGCAGAGGGAGGAGTGGCTGCGGGGCAGGCATGGGGGCCACAGGGCCAGGGGGTGGGAGTGTGTGGCCACCAGCCACTCGTGGAGCCAGGACTTCCTATAGGCATCCACCTTATAGGGTCCTGGGCCTAGGATTGCTTTCCCTGCCTCAAATGGACCCTCTTCTGTGACTCCTTGGGCCCCTGCCCCCCAAAGGCTGGAGCCCACAGCTGATGTTCCTTTCTGGAAGTGTGAATAGGTATTCTGGGATCTTTCAAAACCCGTCCACAAAATACTGGCTGGCCCTCTCCCAACCACTGTGGGTGGCTCTCAGGCTCTGGTCAGCATAGGACTGGGAACAGAAGAAGAGGAAGGGCTGGGGAGGGGCCAGAGGCCCTGAAGCTCAGAGCAACTGACCACTAGGGTCACCAAGGGGCGGAGAAGGGCCAGCTAAACCAGGGAGGGGGATGCTGTAATCCGAGCCCCTCCCTCTACAAGCTGAAGCTCAGCAGGGATCAAAGTCTCCTTAACTCTACTCAGGGAGGAGGGGCAGGGCTGGTAGATTTCAGCTTTTGTCCTCAGCCCCAGTCTCCAGCCCCAACTACTAGCCTAGGTTTTCTCCAAAGGCTGCCAAGATGGCACCTGTCACAAGTACAAGGAAGGAACATCTTCAGCTGGCAAGTGGTAGAGGTTCTGTTCTCCAGGACCCTTCAAGTGTCACATCTGCCAGGTCTTGGCATAGAATAAAAAACCTGTGAGGGTGCCTGGCATGGTGGTGCACTGAGGAGGTGACAGCAGTGCTTTGGCCATCTCACCAGCTGAGAGCACACTGCAGCAGGATTCACCCCCCTGGATACACCTGTTTCTCTAAAACAGGGCTCCTGGCTCCTTCAAATGGGCAAGGCAGGCACGAAACCAGATGGCTATTTTGTCTGCGTGAAAAAAAGACGTGCAAAAAAGTTATGTGCACTGGTCAAAGACAGTCTCTCCTTACACTGACTGTAGTTCATAGTGCAAACAAGGGTCCAGAGAAGTCACCAAACTTCTTCTCAAGGGATGGCCAGCTCATCCTTCAAAGAGCAAGCGTCCTAGATGTTGCTCAGGGATCTAAGTACATTCAGGCCTTGCCCCACAAACCCACCATGAGGGCCAGTATCCATTCTTTAACTGGACTAGAGGCTCTACCACTGTGGGGGAGGGCAGGGAGATCAAAGCTGATGGCAAGACAAAGGGCCTGCTTGGAATCTGCCTTTCCAAACCCTTTCTGTGACTCCAGAGGTCCCCAGGGAGTGGTTTTCTCAGAGACAGGAAGGAAAAAGTCTGTGTGACCCTTTGTCTGACCCCCTGACCCAGGAGGCAGGGTAATAAGAGCCTGGTCTGGCCAGGAGATCAAGAGATGGCTACCAGGCACCAGCGTCTGCTGCCTTACAAAAGAGCTGTGGGTGAGCCGACTCCTGGTGATGAGGGGGCAGGGACATGCCTAAGGAAAAGCACAGGTGGCACCTGAGCCAGAGGCCATGTTTAGAGTGAACTGTATTGCCCCATTCAGATTTGCCTTCCAGTATATCAGACATAACCCTAGCTGAGCAGGGCCCTGCAAAGCCCCATAACCTGCTAGATGCTTTCCTGTGAAAGGTACCAGCTCCAGGTTCCACTTGCAGATGTGTTCTTGAAGCAGTGGTAAACTACATGAAACAGTCTGCTGTAGGCTACGAACGAAGGCTCTTGTGAATAGTTGAGATTGCCTGATGCTCTGGCCCAGCCAAGATTAGACCCCAGGAACCAGTGTGGCTTGTAACCAGGCCTGGCTACTTTGTGGCTGGGAATGTAAACCCAGTGGATGGATGGCTGCAGGTCACCGAGGTCAGCTGGAGGGGACAGTTAACAAAGCCTGGGATCATTTTGGCAGGCACAAAGCAGTGCTGGATCCTGTGACAGAGCACACTGTCAGACACCCCTCACCACCTGCAATAAGCTACAGGCCCACGAAGCCAGACCAATGTTCACAAAGAAAGACATGAGCTCACTGCTGAAGTACATTTACTGTACAAAGAAGTAAGAACGAAGAACCCAGGAATGGTGGAGTCCACAGCAGCAAGGGTAGTGTTGATGGCGTACACGCAGGCCAATCCAGGTCCTCAAAGTCTATACCACTCTATTCGCGATTCCAGAGAAAAGGTCTCTTATCAACAGCAACAGGACTGGTGGGGAAAGGTGATGCTTGATTGTATCCAGCCTCTGGGCCAGGTCCCAGGGGCTACTGCTTATCAGGCAGTTCCCACAACCATAGCCCTGTCCCTACAGGCATTAACCCAACCTCTCAGAACAGCAGGCTGGCGCTGTGTCTACCAGTGCCCTAGTAGCATCCATGGCAAGATGGTCTTAGGAAATGTGCACTAAGAAAGTCCCCAGTAAGGGGTCATGGCTCCTGCTATGGCCAGGGCCCTGAGGGCAGGAGGTAGAGTTAAGCA